TGTCTGTATCACACCAGCTTTGCAGTTTCACGCTACTCACGCTAAACCCCGTGACGTGAAATAATATCAGCTAAATTAAAGCTGCCAGGTTACTTTCCACATATTTATTAAGTTAGCTGATAGCTAAGACAGTCTTTTATTTGTTTTGCTTGCTGCAGGCAGTAAACGCACATTAGCAACACAGGCAAGAGTGGAAGAGACTTGTGATAATGGATGATGAGGGTGTTCTTCATTCTTTCTAAAACACACATGGGTGCTGCAGAAAGCTGAAGGAAGCGCTGCTGCTCATTACTTATAACTCTCTGCTTTTACTCTAAGAGATTTCAATGGAAACAGAACTGCAGGCGGGCACTTCAAATTACAAAAGCAATTTCTTTAAATGCATAAGCAATCATTTTCTCTGGCTGAGGGAAAAAAAATAAAGCAATTCCACACGATTTTTAGCCTTGACCTACAATTTCAAAATAAGTAACATCACGGCTGAATCGTCTATAAAAGAGGGACAAAGAACACAAAAGCAATGTGAATGCTTCGCAGTAACAGCTGATACCTACAGAGTCTGTAAGCAAAGCACCTGCAAAGGACTCATGAAAGTAGAGCACTTTTTTTTAAGTTAAAGGTCAATTGATTCAGATATTAACTTTTTTTTTACCATTTGTGTTTCATTTCTGTGCTGTTGCTCTCTCATTAAACATAACAGATCATTAACATGTCGTTATGTACGTCACTTTATCTCAAAGTTTTATGTTTTCGTGGCAAATGTGAATCGAAACTGTCTGATGGTATGAGCAAAAAACAAAAAAAAGCAAGCTGATCTTTCCCACCTCTGTCATCTCCTTCGCCTTTGCGACTGGCTTTCTTTCGGATGCGGCACTGCTGTGAGTAGTCCACCACTTCCTGCCGTGCCTTGCGGCCCTCGGGAGATGGCGTGAAGAACTTTGTGAGGGCGTCGATGAGGCCCTTGGTCTTGTTGTTGAAGCGCAGGCTGCTGTGTGACAGGTCGCCGTCCTCCCGCATGGAAAAAAGCAGCCTGTCGTCTCCGGGGTAACCTTCGCAGGAGGAGCTGGAGGAAGAGTTTGCTGAGGCCGAGCGCTTCCGCCGACCGCGCCCTCCCAGCTTCTTAAAGGGCCGCCCCGGCCTGCAGAAGACAAAAGTGTTAAGGTCAAAGTCACAATCGCTCCTCAATCACTCTGCAGTGCAAAAACCACCTAAACATGCATTTATCTGTGTATGCCACAGTGTGCACACACTGATTGGTGTGTAGTACAATCTCCAACATACTTGGAACCACATTACTGCATTATTATATATACAAACAAAAAAGAAATACTCTGCACAAAAATAACCTTTGGCATTACTCTTTAAGGGTAAGATCTCATTACTGTCAGTGTCTCAAATTTCAGCATGGCATTCGTTAGTATGGAGGACCAAAACAGTCAATATTAAACATAAGAAAATAATGATAATAATAATAAAAGTGTCATGAATGGAACTTAAGGTGATTAATCACTATTAATCCCATTAAATGCATTTTATTTCATTTTAAATAAAATACAGCACTAGTAGATTTACTACTGCTGTAAATTTGTCTTTGTGTTGATTCTAGTATTCATTTGCTTTTAGTCATTTCACCATTAATTTAACCATTTATCTGATTATTTGATCTCATTCTATACATGTTTTTTATGTTAATTATGACAGACACCGTTATATAACCCTTAGAAAACATCTGATTACTAAGTGGTTTCTAAGTCCTCCATCTCAAACACCTTGGGTCTGTGATGAAGCAGACACAGGTGCTCTCCATCGCAGTGACACCGCCTCAGACAGAATTAGTTGAAGGCGTTTGTGTACCTGTTCTTGGGCCGTCCCAGCGGTGCGTTGTAGCGCCGTTTGATTTGCGCAGCCTTTTCATGTAAAAGCTTCTTTCCCTTTTTCCTTGGTTGGCAGATTTGACAAATCCACATGCCTAGGAGACGAAGAGGAAAAATGGAAGTGTTCACACACTGAGACAGGACAGGCTTCGGTGCACATACAAAGAGGCTCTGGGAAGCTTGTAATGCATTAGTGCTTAACAGGGATGCATTAGAGTGAGAGCCATCAGCTCGGGAGATGGTTTAATCATTAACTGCCATCATAACGGCGACGCAGAAGAGCAATGTAGGAGCGCTGCGTGGTCAATCGGAGGAATAACAGGTACGAGTTGGGCTCGGGGGCAGATAATGGAGACGGGATACGAGTCTTGTTTAATTACCTTTTGGCATCCGCGTGAGAGGAGGATCACAGCACTCCATGTGGAAGCCCCGGTCACAGGAGTCGCAGAACAACATGTTGTCCTGCAGAGAGACACAAAATAATGACAATCGTCTTCAGGTCACACGAGTAGTAGAACAACATATAATCCACTAAGTAAATACAGGTGACACCGCTGATCAAAGCTGCTGAGCTCATTTTAATTCCATATTTTGATGAGAGTTTTGCATACTTTGCCTTCCCTCCGTCCTCATAGCATGTTTCATCATTGTGCCACTGGCAGCATGTTGTGAATTTTCCTCTTAACCTCTCCACAAACATTT